TTTGGATTGTAATTTATGCGAGACTATCATCGCAATTTTTTTTATTTTTGCATTTTTGGGATTTGTAATTTACGCGAGTGATCGTCGCGATGCTTTCTTTTACCGCTTTCATTATTTGTTGTGCTTTAATTATGTCGTATGATTATATTTGTCGTTTGCATGTTTTTACCGTTAATCACTTTCTGAAGGATTAGGTCTAAACCGTTTGACCGTCGAGTCAATAGTCTTAACCCTTTGAACATTTTAAACCCTAATTAGCCTAGGCGTCCCGCCATGGACGAAAATACCCTTTACCCTTGCTTTAGGTCAAAGAGTCTCCGTACTCTATTTTAGGGTTTCCCGCCGCAAAATCCCTAAGTTCAACCCTAATTTTAATTCAACTTTTCAACATAGAAATAGGAGTTTCAAGACTCCACGTAAGCGTTTCCTTAAGAAATGCTTACTCTCCATTGAAACCTTGACCCCAGTCAAGAAGTTTCTAACCTCCCTTTCAAGGGGAACTACGATTACTCTAATTCCATTCTCTATCCAGGATACGTAGGCACAAGATGTGAATCTTGCCGAGTAAACTTAGGACTAACCCTTATGTCTTTTAGGTCACTCTATCCCTTAGCAATATATACCTTAAGTAAATAATAAAAGTAAAAAGGCATACAATAAACAAAAGGTTCCTGTAGAGTACTACAGAAGTTTAGGGTGCTAGTACCTTCCCTAAGCTTAACCAACCCCTTACCTAGGTCTCTCCCCACATTGTCTTTACGATGCAAAATTAGGTTTTCCCTCTTTTGACATTTTCCTTCGGATAAATCAAAGAGCAGTTGTGAACTAAAGATGCGATTCAAATTAATTAATAATTTGATATCATATTCTAACTGCAAAAACATTCTTCTGACCAAATTCCAACCGCGTCCAATCTGTGTTTTCTTCACAGATAGGACACGCACATTGACCTTTAATGCTATACCCCGATAGATTTCCGTATGCTGGAAAATAATTAATTGTGCCAAATAACATCGCCATCAAATTGAAACTTTCTTTCCTATATCCATCATAAACCTCCACACCGTTCTCCCACAAACTCTTTAAGTCTTCGATTAAAGGTGTCAAGTATACGTTTATGTCATTCCCTGGTTGTTTAGGGCCAGAAATTAACATAGATAACATCATGTACTTACGCTTCATACATAGCCATGGAGGTAGGTTATAAATCATAATAATTACAGGCCAGGTGGAATGTGAGATACTTTGCAGACCATGCGGATTCATTCCATCAGTCGATAATGCCAAGCGAAGGTTTCTAGCTTCTTCTCCAAAATCAGGACACTCATTATCAATTTTCATCCACTGTGGTGAATCTGCTGGAAGTCGATACTTCCCATCTATAATTCTATCATTTGCATGCCAAGTCAGGTGTTTTGCATCTGTTTCACTACGAAACATGCGTCTAAATCTCAAAATTATAGGAAAATACCATAAAACCTTTGTAGGTGATAAATTTTTCTTATACCGAGATACACCGCATTTAGGACACTCGTTTAATGATACATATTCATTTGAAACAAAATGAAATCATTTGGACAAACATGTATCTTATCATAGCTCATGCCAATAGAGCATAACATTTTTTTAGCTTCATAGGTTTGACTGGGAAGAACATTATCCTCCGGAAGCATCTCTTGAAGTAGGGCTAACAACTCTGTGAAACTTTTATCCAACCATCAATTACCTGCCTTTAAGTTGTACAACTTTAATACCGCAGACAATCTTGTGAAAGTAGTGCAACCTTTATACAACGGTTTCTCTGCATCGCTTACCAACCTCTCAAACATCTTGGGACAATCTTGAAGATCTTCTTCAAGTGCTTTTGCAATCTTTTCGACTCGATCACAATCATATGTATCTCTGCCATTATGAAGCATAGGTCGTATTATCCCCAGGTTCCACATTCTCGTTACTTATCTCACCATGTAATGTCCAACATGTATAACTTCGATCAATTCCATGTCTCATTAAATGAGATTCCAACTGAACGGCGTCAATTCGACGCCCATAACAGCAACCTAAGCAAGGACATGTGATCCTACTGGGGTCTTTGGCGTGTTCAACAACAAACTTAATGAATTTTGATACCCCATTCTCGTATTCTTTAGACAATCGATTGGAAGACATACATTTTTTATCCATACTAATTGAGTAGTCTAAACTAAACTAAGAAAGTTAAACAAATACAGAGAATACCTGTAAAGAAATCAATAACTTCTAAAAAAGCTACATAGTAGGATGCTTGAAAACGATCACAACCTTGCTCTTCACAGGTAACCCCTATAACGGAAAAAATTAATAACATCATCAACATTAAATAATTCTTGGAACATCAATTATTGATAAAACTTGCAATAAAATTAATTAATTTGCAATTAATATGAACTCATATACAATTTTTACAATTTTTACTAACATATTAATTATTTAAAATTTTATATAATTTTATATTTTATCTAAAATTTTATATAACTTGAGTTTATATTTATCTAAAATTTTATACAATTTTTACTTGTATTTCACACTCTTGACATATTCTATCCTAACATTAAGTGTTCTTGTATGTCCACTCATCCATCTCAATATTCTCATCTATGCAAAATTTAGCTTATGCACTAGTTGGCACTTTCTAGCCCAACATACCATAAAATTATTTTCTTATACTATTTTGGTAAATTAAATGTTACTAAATTAGCAAGACTGTACAAAATGCAAATCTTCCCACATAATATTATTAATACTCAATATACCTGAGAAAAATTGACTATAACAGGAAGAATATGTGCCACACAATCTTGAGGCTCCCACAATTTTCCAAGAGCTGCACAAACCTCAACAGCAAGAAGCCGAACAAAATCTTGATCTACAAGAACAAGAGTCAATAAGTTATTATTTTTATATACATATAGATAGATTCAGTAGGTTACTTCAAAAACAATTTGCTATTCAATAAATGAGCATAACAAACAAAAATTATATTCACTTAAACTGATCGGCAAAATATACTAATAAACTGACAATGTCTTCAGTTACTAATAAGGACTAAGGAAAATAAATAAACTTCAAGATTAATAGAAACTTAAAGCTTTCATCTGAATCACAAATAGTGTGAAGCTTCTAAGGCAACATAATCTAAAAAATCATTGAACAAACAAAATTTATCAGAATGCCAATTTCAAATAAGATTTGTAGGCAACAATAATGCAAATGCCCGCTTGAGAATTTCCTTTATTTAGTTAACGTTCCACTTGTTTGCCTCACTGGAATTAAATATATGTGCAGTATTTCCCTTATAAAAGTTATTAGTAAAAAGAACTCATATAAGGTGTGGCATTTCAACAAACACCTTGTATACAGCTAGATATAATGAAAGTTAACATAAGTAAATTCATTGTGCCATTTCAACAAACACCTTGTATACAAAACTCAAGTCAATATCAAAAGAGTAATTCTCATCAACGGTATCAACAAAAACAAGTCAATAACTCAGAAAAGAAGTAACACTAACATCATATAATCTAGAAAAATAAAATACTAAGACAATAATCCAGAAAAATGCAAAATGAAAAACTTCAAATACCGTAACAATGGCGGAAATGCGCTACAGAGGCTGTCGAAAATGGACGGTCAAATGGAGGAGAAATGAAACACAGGCTGAACGGAGGTGGGCGACGGAGGCGCGGCAGTCGGACGGAGGAGGGTGACGGCCAGTCGTGGTGAATAGGGTTCTGGTTCGCAGAGAGGAGAAAGAAAGAATGAAGAACGTATGCGCGAGCTAGCTTATGTTTCTTTAAAAAATTCTGTGATATTTTAATTTAATTATAATAAAACCTATGGTAGCGCTTTTTAATACCTACAGCAATGCTTCTAAAAGCGCTTTCTTTGAAAACCCATATAGCAGCGCTTTAGAAGGAAAGCGCTTTCTTTAAAATTCTGTGATATTTTAATTTAATTATAATAACACTTATGGCAACGGTTTTTAATACCTACAGCAGCACTTTTAAAGCGCTTTCTTTGAAAAACCATATAGCAGCGCTTTAGAAGGAAAGCGCTTTCTTTGACACACCCTACAGCAGCGCTTTAGAAAAACGCTTTCTTAGGACCAACCTACAGCAGCACTTTACAAAAGCGCTGTCTTAGCCCATGCATTTAGCAGCGCTTTATTTAAAGCGCTTTCTTAGTGTACCCCTTTAGCAACGCTTTTTTAAAAAGCGTTATCTTAGGTATGTTGTTTTTTTTATTTTTTTTAATTACTCTTTAGCAGCGCTTTTCCTAAAAGCGTTGTCTTTCTATGCGCTGCTAAAAGTCAATTCTGGCATAGTGAGGAAAGTCGAAAGATATGGCTTTGCAGGCGCAGTCAGAAAAGGCAAAGGTAGCTGGAATGGAAACAGAGGAGGAAACCAGTCGAATTAGAAGAAACCTTGGAACCAAGGCAACCAAAGTGGTGGTGCTGTAGGTAAAGGAAGAGGTGGTGGTCGAAAGACAGAAAAAAGCCGCATTCAATGTTTCAATTGCCAGAAGTATGGTCATTATGTTAGTTCTTGTACAGAAAGGAAGAGAAATCAAGAGACTGATGCAAAGCTGGTGAAACATGAAGGATATTCTTAACACGTATTAGGAAGCTTCAGGACAAGCCATTAACTTCCAAAAATCTAAAGTCTTTTGAGTCATAATGTTGATCTGATTATTAAGAATGCTTTGGTTGACACTCTAGGAGTTCAACAGGTGTTGAGGACAGGTAAGTATCTTGGTGTGCCATCTATGACAGGAAGAAGCAAGAAAGCTACTTTCAAGTTTGTTGAAGATAGAATTTGGAAAAAAGTTTAATTCTTGGAGTAGTATGAGCCTATATTAAGAAGGAATGGAAACTCTCATTAAATTATTTCTTCAAGCTATCCCCTCTTATATCATGAGTATATTTTTGTTGTCTTCCTCTTTAAGCGAGGAGATTGAAAAAAATGGTGAATTCTTTTTGGTGGGGTCATAAGCGAGATTGGGGAAAAGGTATTCATTGGATTTCGTGGGACCGTCTGTCTATGCTCAAAATTGATGGAGGGATGAGTTTCAAAATTTTGAGTGCTTTCAATTATGCTATGTTGAGTAAACAAGCATGGAATTTTATGACTAAGCTTCACAACTTAGTTACTCGTCTCTACAAGGCAAGGTACTTCCCCAAATATGATTTTCTTGATTCTGATATTGGGCGCAATCCCAGTTATGTGTGACGGAGTATCTGGGGTGCGGAGTTTGTGGTGCGAGGAGGATATAAATGGAGTATCAGTTTGGGAGAGAGTATTTCGGTTTAGGGCAGAAGTGGCTCCATGATAGTTTGGCTTTGGACAATCCTTGGCCGAATTACCCAAAGGTGGTTAACCTCAAAGTTTCAAACTTGTTGAGTGCTAAGGGAAAACATTGGAATTCCAATATGATTTATTGTCTTTTAGGATAGGGAGAGGCTTCTAAGGTTCTCAATACTCTGTTATTTAAGTCGGTACATGAGGATAAGTTAATTTGGAAGTTAGCGAAGAATGGTAGATTTAATGTGCATATTGCTTATCGTTTATGCATAAAAGAAGCCATAGATACCTCCCATCTTAGGACTGATAAGAGGAGAAACTTGATTTGGAATCTAAGATTCCTCCAAGGATCAAAAAAAAAATTGTGTCGTCTTTGCAGGAATTGTGTGCCAACTAGAATGAGATTAAAAGACAAAGGTGTTGATTTCCCTACTAGTTGTGGTGCTTGTAGGAAAGGAGAGGAGAATTATGATCATTTGTTTCTGCAGTGTTCTAAGAGCATTTAGTGTTGGGAAAAAGTGGGTGTGTGGGCTAAGATGCACGAGTTATCTAATAACGAAGATGACTTTGCTACTATAATCTTCTCCTTATTACAAGGATCAAATCAATATCAACAAGCTGTGTTCTCAACTACGTTGTGGAGTATTTGGAAATGTAGGAATAATGTTATTTGGAACCATATTGAAGAGTCCCTATAATCCATTTGTCACTGTGCTTCTCATTTATTGTCAGGATGGAGAAATGCCCAACAGATCAGATCGAGTCTTACTATCCGAAATCAAGTGGTTCATGATTCCAAGTGGAACAAGCCTTCAGCTGGGCGGTTTAAATGCAATATTGATGCTTCCTTCTTAAACAAAAAAGCAGGAATAGGTAATTGCATTAGAGATGATGAGGGGGTGTTTGTTGCTGCCTGTATAAGGTGGTTCTCGCCTAGTACTGAAGTAGATGTGGGTGAAACTTTAGTCCTCTTGTACTCTATCAAGTGGGTTCACGAGTTAGGTCTAGACAATGTGGATTTGGAGCTAGATGCTAAAAGTGTAGTGGATGATGTGAACTTTTAGAATCCTAATGATTCAGATTTTAGCGCTATCACAAAGAAGTGTAATCACTTGTTAGTCATTCGTTATAAGAACTCTCATGTTAAGTTCGTTATGAGACAAGTCGATGAAGCTGCTCATGTTTTGGCTCGGGCAACTTACTCTCTTTCTAGTTTCCAAATTTTTAATGATGTACCACCATGTATTTAAAGTCTTATTATTAATCAAATATTACGAATTTTTCTGTAAAAAAAGTTACATTTAAAATATATAACTTCAAGAACTTTATCCACAAATATATTATCTAGTGAGTTCTACAACAATCGTAATTTAAAAAAACATTATATATATATATATATATATATATATATATATATATATATATATATATATATATATATATATATATATATATATATATATATATATATATATATATATATATATATATATATATATATATATATATATATATATATATATATATATATATATATATATATTCCAATAAGTTTTCTTGGTTTTGGAAGTCAAAAGTATCTGTTCCTCTGAAGAAAATTCTTCTTGATGTAAAAACACAGGATTCTCATCCTCTTGGAATAGCAAAAAGAGTGGATCTCCGGGGTCCCAAATGAAATGGCTTATGTGAAAAAAGTCTTGTTCGTTGGAAGATCTCACTCGTGTCTAGTCCTGCATAGTTCCATAACATAAAAATCAGACGATTAAATCAATTTGCATGTATGTATCATACTTTCGATTACAAAATGTAAAACAAACCTTAACTAATAGTCTTTACTATTACATAACATTATTTAAAAGCAATCTACTCATAACAAATTCTTTTATGAATAATCAAACAAAGCAATTAGAGAAGTTAAAACAAGAATAAACCAATGCATATTCACATAAATTCAAATAATTGAGAAACAAAATGATAAGAAACCAATAATTAACATATTATTTTATAACGTCACATTTAAGCAATTGATATCTTAAAATGATATTTAGACTTAATTTGCTCCTTAATTGATTAAAATATAATAAAAATATTTATATAAATAATAATAATAATAATAATAATAATAATAATAATAATAATAATAATAATAATAATAATAATAATAATAATAATAAATTATGTCGATATAATTTTCCGATTTAATTATTTCTTCTAATCATGTAGTCATTTACTTAGTATAATCATTACTATAATTATTTAAAGTCATTCATGTGTGATTAATAGACATTTAACACGGTTCTAGAGTGTAAAAGTGACATCTCACTCTCGCGAATTTTTTTCGCAGCCATGTATTTCAAATCAATTACTAGTTAAATGAGAGTTTCAAAAAAATTACGAAACCAACTATACATCAACAGACAGTCGCCAATCGATATAGAGGCAAAGGCAAAACGGAAAAATAAAATTCTGAGAAGTCGCCAATCAGATAGGCGAAGCTGGTGAAAAGTGAAGAAATCGCCATCCTATTTGGCGTCTTAGGCAAAGTGCTAGGGTTTTCTACTTTCAATAATGTTTTACTGTATTTAATATGAATTATTTTTTTATATTTTTAATTTTGATTATGTTTTAAATTTCAATTAATGTTTTAATATAGTTAATATGAATAATTTTTTTATATTGTAAATTATTATTATTTTTTAAATATAATTATTATTAATAAACTTAAAATAATTAGGTTTAATGTTAAAATTAATTTTTTTTATTAATAAACTTAAAATAATTAGATTTAATGTTAAAATTAATTTTTTAATTAATACAATTAAAATAATTAGGTTAATGTTAAAATTAATTTTTTAATTAATACACTTAAAATAATTAGGTTTAAATAAAAATAATCTCAAATTAATTTAATAAATTTAAGTTTAATTAAAAATAAACTTAAATTGGTTTAATAAATTAAAAATAAAAATATAGTGAGGGTATTTAAGTCATATCATATGGGGTACGCACTATTTTTTTTAACTATAAATACGACTGCAAACACAGGTATGTTTTCACAACATTGTATCCCAAAAGAGTGAAGCGTTAGTGCATTTTGAGTTGAGTGGAACCTAGAATATTTGCATTTCTTAATCAACGTTCATCGTTGTCGTCGTCATCAGCATCAAAGTAACCCTTTCCAACGATCGATCTAATGAAAAGAAATGACCTAGTTGTGTTTTCAACAACAAAGCCTCTGATGAAGGTGCTCCTGTGGAATACGCAGACGTTGGAGCACTTGCACAGAGAACTAAACCGCTGGAGAGAAGGAGATATTGCTCTAGGAGAAAAGATTAGGAAAATAGAGAGGTTGGTCGAGGAGACCGGGAGAAACGGAGTTACTCGTGAATGGAGAAAAGTGGAAAACGATGTCGGTGTCCTTGTGATGATGTTGACACCAAAGAAGATAAAGTTGATGGTCGTGATATCGTAGACGCCTTGGTGCAGTGTTATGTTTTATGTTTTATTTTTTACGTTGTTGTTATGTTTGTTTAATTTAAATGAAGGAAATTTGTTATTAATCGAATGAAATTTGCTATTAATTGAATGAAATTTGCTATTGATTTAAAGGGACAAGATTACATATGAAACTATGATCTGCTGCTTGATCCTATGTTAGGACATTTTGTACGATTATGTCCTGGTTGCCGACACGAACTACACAATTTCACCAACCTGTCTACGGTATCCATCTCCGTTCGAATGCGCATGCTGTTAGGCCAACCCTTTTTCTTTTTGCGCATCAAGTCATTATGCCAAACAACTTCGCCTTCGTATTGAGGCCAATAGTTCTCCTTTGCCACCACCTGAAAGCTGCATGTATAGACATTGCATAGACTTATCACTTGGTGAACTGCAGAAAGAAGGTTGGTTGGGTCCTGGCGCGCCTTCGAACATGCTGCTATGACATGAGAGCAAGGCATACGGAATGCTTGAAACTTTCCACAATCACATCAGCTCTTATCCAACTCAATGCGGTAACATCCCCTAGGCGTTCCTTTGTTGTGATCAATAGACTCGGCAACACTGAACTAACCAGCTGTACGGTCAAAGATTGTGACCACATGTGTGTTGGCTTTAGCAGCTTCCTCTTTCATGAATTTCATTGAAGTATCGCTGTACAACTGACCCGATTATAATACCGAACCCCACTTTGTACGTCTGCTATCAAAGAGTGATCCTAGCCTAAAATAGGTTGCCTTTACCAAGGCAGTTATTGGGAGGTTTCAGATTCCCTTGAAAACAGAGTTCATTGACTCGACGAGGTTAGTTGTCATGTGGCCCCATCGCACCCCATTGTCGTATGCCCGCGTCCATTTCTCTCTATCAATGCTATCAATCCATCTTAATGCATCCGCGTTGGTCAGTTTGATCTCATCACAGTAGTATTTGAATGTGGGTTCAGTTAGTGCATATCCCGCGTTCACAACCTTCTTCCGCAGCGTCTTGTCTTTGATTTCCTGCATGAAATTTTGGGCAATATGCGTTATGCAATAGACGTGGATCGAGGGAGGATTCTGCCAACCGTTGTCATGGTTGTTGTATGCACTCTCGATGGATGGGTGTCGATCGGAGATCAAACATAAGTTAGGTTGGGGAGACACGTAAGAGCCGAGGTTTTTTAAGAAAAAACTCCAACCCCCAGCAGTCTCCCCTTCTACTATGGCGAAGGCTATTGGGAAAATGTTGTTGTTCCCGTCCTATGCCACCGCCATGAGTAGTGTGCCCTTATATTTCCCGTATAACCATGTTCCGTCAATTTGAATTATAGGTGTACAAAATGCAAACCCTTTGATGCATGGTTCAAACGCCCAAAAGACTCTGTGAAAACTTCCATTTCCACCAATGCAAGTCCCGTCTGGTGTACAAGCAGGCATCGTCTCCAATAT